CTACCATGCAGGAGGCCCTGGGTTCCATCCATAGCACTTAAGGGGAAAAAAAAGCTAGTGTATGATTCTATTTCCAGAACCTTCTAGAAAAAGAAAAACTACAGAATGGAGATGAGGTCACAGGTCATAAGAGACTGGAGCTGTGAGGTGCTGACTCGGAAGAGGAACAGGGATATTTGGGGAGACGGAGCTGTTCTGTATGTCAAATGGGAGCTCGCTCCACAGCCCCACACATCTGTCAACACTCACCTAATAGTACACACAGAAGACAAAGCTACAAAGAGACCACACCTCCTCAGCCTTGTTTTCCAAGTGGAAGATAAAAGTCAACAGGGTGTGTCGGGATTGCCTGGAGACCCCAAGCCCTGAGCTGGCAGCTAGGGGTTCCCCAGAAGCAAAATGGATACAATACCAGCTCTCCAGAGACTGAGACATCAGGGCCATGAGTTCGAAACCAACATGGGCTATATAGTGGGACTTGTCTGGGGGGGAGGGGGAGGCATTGCTCCAGGATGGAAAGGCAGAGTCCTGAACCACATCCCAAGGCCAATGACGACAAGAATTATCATTTTAACAAAATGAACCCTATGAAGTCGAGACCCAGCATCACTACCACATAGGGGCTCCTCAGCTTATGGCGGAACCACATCTAAAGAAACACTGACAACCATAAACGGACACCACCCAATCAACTCTGCCGCCCTCAATATCCCACATATCCACCCCCACCCTTGCCGTCACTGGCCACCGGGCACTGCTGTTTGTGTAGCTGCCCAGTATCACAAGCTGTCAACAGACCATAATGCTAGCCCAGGACAGGACCACAGTTGAGAATTCTGAGTATGGTACCCGTCACCTGTGTGCCCCTTCTCCATCCTCCTGTTAAGTCAGAACACCACGGCTAAGTCAGAAACCACCGCCTGCTCGCACCCGCGCCCCCCCCCAACTCTGCAATATTCCTGGTAGGGTGTGGGGCTCATTAAACACGCTGGTTTTCCTGCTTCAAAACCTACCCTGATGCTTGCCGAGTGGGCTGCAAAGGAGCTGGGGTTTGGGGTTCAGTGGCAGAGCACCTCAAAAGGCCAGTACAGTCTCTGAGCCTGTTTGGTTTTGCCTCCAGGTGGGCAGACCTTGGGGTTCTCAGAGATTTTTGGGTTTGGAGACTATGGATGAGGGATCATACCTTCATGAAGTAAAGTTCCCAGTGGCAAAGCCAGGCTAATTCTGACTTCCCAGATTGCTCCTCTGGGAATTCCTAGCAAGCAGATGTAGTAGAGCAACTCTATGATGCAGGACATCCCTCCACCTTGGTAGAACTGTCCAGAACATTCTACATTTCGGGTCAGGCCAAGCATCCGACTATGTGCTGTTACATCTCTCGAGGGTCTCATCACACATCTCGGTTCTGGAGGAGAGCCAAACAGCCAGTGCCCACAGGCCCCTGACTCCATGGTGACTCCGGCTCCTCGAGTTTCTGCAAACTTGGACAAGTGTGATGAGGACAGGGATGTGTCAGCACACAGACCGGGCCTGGCACTGGAAGAGTCAGAATCTCACAGCCAGTGCAGAGGCGGCACACAGCATAAGGGGACCGGGAAGGCGACACCGACATCTGACAGAGCAGGTGGCATCATGAGGGATGCTCTAGGAAGTCTGAGATGGCCCTTGTGGAGTCAACAGACCCTAGCTCTGTGAAGGCCATAGGGCCCCTCTTCTTATATTCCAGTCAGACTACCAATGAGTGGGGCCGCAGAGCGAAGGTGTATGCACTTAGGGCAGCTCTCTGAGAGAACAGGACAGGTTACAGATTGTCCTCCAAATTTCTTACCCGGATGCAAGAACAACTCTTAGTTTTCACGACTGGCCTCCAGCCTGAGCTGCTGGGAGACAGAGAGGGATGGAATTGAGGTAGCAAACTGTCCCAATGTGGAGAGAAAGCAAGGCTCCTCCCTCTAGCAGTCAGCCACACTGGCCCTGGCAGGTGGAAGGCAGTCTCCAGTGCCACGGTCAACCCAAGTTCTATAATCCCTCCCCTCCACAGACAGCAAAGACATCACTTTTCATATTGCCCCACAACCTTCAGTAAAGAGACTTCTAAAATGGGCACCACACATAAAAAACTCATGGGGCTGTTCCACTCAAAGACGAGCTCAGAAGGGTAACTACATAAAGAGACCACCTCTAAGGGCCCTAGGATAAAACATCCACAAGGCCACCACACAAGAACATTCAACATGTCTGCAGCATGAGAAAACATCTCAAAGATACAGAGAAGCCAGGTACAAAAGAACACTGTTCCAATTCCGTTTACATGAGGCTCAAAAGGAGGTTAGAAGCCAGGTAGGTCAGCTGATCTTGTTGGGATGTGGCCAGGAAGGGGAAGAGGGAGGTCCTTCGGCCTGGAGGCTGAGCGGCCATCAATGATGCCAGACCCAACTCTTACGCTTGCCTGTATGCATCCTACAGTTTACTCTAAGAAGTTCTGAATGTATTTCAGCTGTAAAGGTCTTGCCTATCATGTGTGAGGACCTGGTTCCATCCCCAGCACAGCATAAAACTGGGATGTGGTGGCTCACATGATAACTCAACCACACAGGCAAGCCTGGACTACATGAGACCCCGCCCCGCCCAAAAAAATTAAAAAAAAAAAAAAAAAGTTTAGAGAATTTGCTTAAGTGTTTATTTTTTTCAATGCCAATAGCATTTGGGCTTTGTTTTGTTTTTTTAAGTCCGTGTTTTCTGTGGTGTCTTGACTCCCAAGCAAGTCTGCTTTCTCTCCTCCCACTGGCCTGAATTTCTTGATGCACCGGCCTCAGGTCCTCTGTCCCTCCCTCCCCGCCCCTCCCGGAAGCAGCTCCATGCATGATGACCTGGCTTGGAGACCGGCTAGGCCTAGGATGGGAAGCGCCCCCTTCCGGAGTGGGGCTGTATAATTCTTCAGGCCAAAAGGGGAACAGAAGCTACAGAGAGAGGGCGGGAAACTGTACACACTCACTCCAAAGCTACCCAGAGCAAGTGAGGCCTGGGCTAGCCACCAAACAAGGCTGGAGTGCTCTCAGGGTGCCCCAGGCTCAGCGAGCTATGCCTCTTGTGAGGGCTCATCACCTACAGCTCTCAGAGCTGCAGGATCTAGGATGAACGGGGTGAGCTAAGGACAAGAGAAGGGCTCCCCAGCTCCTCTGCTTCCTCTTGGAAGGCTTCAGGAGGGCGGAAGTCATTTAACAGGAACCCATCAACACAGTGGTCTCTCGTCATGTCAGCCCCTAGGACCATCTGAAGGCATGTTCTCATTCCCTGACATCCTCCAAGGCCCAGTTACTCATTCCAGGATGGGTACTAAAGTCATATGTCCTCTGAGCATTTTCCTGGGCTGGGAGTGTTTGGGAGGGCGCATCGCCAACCTTCAGGACCAAGCTTGGCAAGGAGGAATTCAGGGGGACAAATTCTGGCACCTATCTTAAGCACCAATAACATTGTGGTTACAGAGACACCCCTGGAAAAGAGGCCTTCCACTACACAGACCTTAATTTTCACCAGCCTCCAAGTAAACCACTTGCTCCCAAAACTCACGCTCTCTTGGTATAATTTCACAGCCCCAGGAACCGACCATCTGGAGCCCCCAGAAGAGAAGGCAACCCATCCATGCTCTCTGAGCAACGACTCCAACAGCCCTGGCTGGGAGAGACCGGCCCCACCCATTCACCAGAGCTGGCGACCCCTTGCAAACTCGAGCGACCTGCCCAGCCCTGTAATGTTGGCCCTCAATGAACTGGAGCCTGAAAAGAGGTACATTTGGGCATGGCAGGGTGGCCAGCCAGCCTGGGGAGCAGGGTGTGTCTCCCCCCACACCGGGAATCTGGGTCATGCTTAGATGGCAGAGAAACCTCTACTCTACCCACCCGCGCCTGCCTGCATCTCCCCAGATGCTGAGCAAGCCCTCTTCCCGGTTTACGGGAAGCTGAGGACTTCAAGAAATCAGGGGCACTGTGCATGGAATCACTCCTCAGCAGAGGAAAGGGGGCCCTTGGCCTTTTTCCTCCGAGTGTTTCATGGAAGGGGGGGTGCCTACCTGCCCGAGATGTCCATATGGAGGCAGATCCTCTTGGTCTTCCCTCCCAGCTTCCCAGGGTGTTAGAAGCTAACCCAACCAAGTCCACAAGCAGCCCTTCAAAGGGGCCCCACTTAGCCTTCCTTCTGCCTCCTCTCATACCGAAACAACCCACCTCAGGTCTTCCCAGGCCATGGGCCTCACCGGCTGGGTAGGATTATGTTTCTTTACACCCCAAAAGAGAATGCTGAAGGGGTTCTGACCTGTGACCGAAGGAACAGGACTTGTATACCTGGGGTCAGAGGAAGAGTCCCCAGACCACTAAACAGGACAATCCTCAGATGCAGCTGGCGGCCCACCCAGAGCCACTCGCTGAGGCTGGGATGACTTCTGCACCCCCAGGCCACATGGTGTCCCATGCCTAGGCCTGAGGCTCCCACCTTGGGTAGAACACCAGGGTTGAGGGGTCGGGGTCCTAGTCTATAGGTTTGATGGGGGGCCACTTGTGGGTTTTCCCACCCTGTAACCCAAAGCGTCCAGGCACTGGCCCAGCTAGAGCGCCATCAGAGGAAGTCAGACCCCAGCGGAAAAGCCCCCATCAGTGTCCCCGGGCGACCCAAGACCCAGACCTTCCGTCTTTGCAAGGAACCACTCACTCCCCCGAGTCCCAAGCCTCCCCACTACGGGCAGGCTGGCTCAGCAGCTGCAGCCCAGCAGGCCGGGAGGCTGCTTCCCTCAGCTCCCGGGCCCTCAGCTCCAGCCCCTGGCCGCCGAGCAGCCCCCCAGCTCCCATCAGCCCCCAGGTCTCTCTCTCTCTCTCAGCCCCGCAGAGGGAGGAGGAGGAGGAAGAGGAGGAAGAAGAGGAGGAGGAGGAGAGGAGGAGGAGGAAGATGAGGAGGAGGAGAAGGAGGAGGAGGGGAGGCGCAGCCGCCCGGGCTGGGGCAAAGGATATGGCCATTCCGTGATCTTTTTGGCGTATTTTCTCACCACGTTGTCTTCACTGAAGAGGAACAGGGAGCGGTTGACCGTGAGGCAGTTCTGGCGGACGGGGATTGGGTTGTAGAGGGCCATGGTCCGCGCTCTCTGCGCCATCGACTGCTTGTACATCCTCTGCGCTCCGGGCTGCCCGCCCTGCCGGCTGCCCCCGGCTCCTCGGCCGCCCGCGGCGCCCACGACCACCCCGGCGGCCGGCCCTGAGCCTCCTCCGCCTGCGCCGTAGCGGCCCGGCATCTCGTCTCCAAAGCGGGCCATTCTGCAAAGAGCAAAGGGCCTCGGGTTACGCGGCGGCTGCTGTTGCTGCGGCGAGCGCTGCGGAAGCCACGGCCACCGCCACCACCACCACCACCGCCGCCGCTGCTCAGGCTGGCCGGGCTGTGGGGACGGCGGCTGCACCTGCGACTGCGGAGACGCTCCACGGCCCAGCCCATCGGGCGGCGGCGCCCGGCCTCGGCTCGGGGGGCTCAGGAGCGGGACGGCCCGGCAGAGCCGGGGAGCGCGGCTCGGGACATGCCGGCAGAGGCGGTGACCCCGGGTGGGAGGAGGGGTGCGGGGGAGGGCGCGGGGGCGGGGCGCGGGGGAGGGGCGCGGCAAAAATAACCGGGGACGCGATCCAGGCGATCCCCGGCCACCCACTCCGGAGAGGAAGAAATTTTTTTCAGTTAAAAAAAAAAAAATCAGTTAAAAAATATATAGTGTAAAAAGATCAGTTTTTTTTTTTTTAAAGCAACGCTCCAATGCACACCCCCTTTAAAACGCGAAGTCTAAGCGAAGGACGTCCCCCCTCCCCGGGACGCAGCGACAAGCTTCAAATTCCTCGGAGGTCCGGGTCAGCTTGGCATCTTGCTAAAGGCGTGGGCTCGGCCCATTTGAAAAAAAAAAAAAAAAAAAAAGGAGAAGAAGAAGAAAATTAAATAATAAAAAACCAAAACCAGGTCTTTGCTACAGGAGGAGGGTGGCAGAGAAGGATCTGTCCGTCTGTTTTGCTGACTTTCCTAGATCTGGAAAGATAGAAAATTCCTGAAAACGCTGCAGCCCCTCCCCCAAATCCAACCGGGCTGGAGAGCGGGGGCCGGAGGAGCGGGGCGCAGGGGCGCGGCGGAGCTCGGAGGCGTCAGGGAGCCGCTGGTCCCCGGCTTTGAAAAAAGCCGATCTGTTTTCCTCCTGATTCAGCAGCCGCCGGCTCCTCTGCGCGCGGAAGCGTGTGTGCGCGCAGCCAGGCGCGGCGCAGCCTCGGCCGGGGGGAAATTGCAGCAGCGCAGTCTTGAAAATTCCCCACGGGGGGGAAGGAGGCGAGAGAGCGAGCGAACGAGCGAGGGAGGGCGGTGCGCGCCGCTCGGCAGCGGCTCGGGCTGCGGCAGAGCCTGGCAGCATCCCCACCCCCCGGGCGCCTCCCTCCTCTCCCCCTCCCCCAGCTCCGCTGAAAGAAGAGGTGCGAGGAGCGAGCTGCCCGGTCAGGAGCCGGAGCTAGACCTCGGCCCTGTGCCCTGGAGCAAGACCCACCCGGTGACACGCGCAACCAATCACCGGCGCGGGAGCAGGCGCGGCCGGGCGCAGGGGGAAGTCGGGACAGAGTCCTCCCGCACAGAGGACCTTGCCTGCCACCCGAGGTCCCTACCTAGAACCAGGCGCGCCCAGCGGGAAGGAAGAAAGTTAAGAACCAAGGGCTTGGTCTCGAGACTGGTGTGGGTGGCCGTCGCTGAACAAATGCGGGTCTTTTGAGTAAAAGACAATTTTTGCGAGCTGGGAGGAAGGTTTGGGGCACTTCTGGGAGGGCTGCGGGTCGCAGGGGGCCGTTCCAAGCTAATGTTTAAACCGCCCTGGAGACCCTGGCGGGAGCACCTGTGAGCTCCCAGGAGCAGACCACTCACGAGTGCTAGCGTGCTAGGCAGGGCTGCCGGGCTGGCATTGGCATGGCCCCATCTCTACTAGGCACTTGGATCACCCCCACCTGCCTTTTTTTTTTTTTTCTCTTTGGAAATTCCATAAATACAGAGAAAAATACATAAAACGCAAATGAACAGGTTGAGAAATTGCTGCATAATGAGCCCTTGTGGATGCCAGCGCCCCAGAAACCCGACCACGGGCCTCTACAGGGGTGGGTTCCATTATAACCACTGCCTGACCATTCTTTTAGCTTTCTGACCTTGGCATGCCTTTCTCAGCAGGAGTAGTGTTTGACTCCTTTTGACCCCATAATAAGCATCATTTTGCAGGGTCTGGTTTCTTGGGTTCGTCGTTTTGTCTTTCAAGCTCACCTGCTGTCACCCATAGCTGTAGGTGGTACATTTTCTTTGCTGTATACTGCTCCGTGGAAAGATCAGTCCGCAATTTGTTTGACCACTGTCTTTTCTATGGGCATCTGGGTTCTTCAGAGTTGAGCCCACAGCAGAGCATTGCCTGCGACACCATATGCATGAGAGCATGCTTGCCTGCGGACTAAGGCTATGCACGGCATTTCAGGCTCTCTTCGTGTAGTATCTTCAGATTTACAAGATGTGGAACTGTCTTCTAAAGCATACATACCAAGACATAATTTGGGGAGCCAGGAAGGTGGCTCAGCTGGTAGAGTACAGGCTGCTCTTCCGGAGGACCTGGGTTCGATTCCCAGCACCCACATGGTGGCTTACAACCAGCTGTAACTCCCGTTCCAGGGGATCCAACGCCACCTTCTGGCCTCCTTGGGCACCAGGCAAGCTCGTGGTGCATGGACATGCGGTCTGGCAAAACACTCATTCACATAAAATGAAATCAAAAAGTTCTAAAAGAAGAAGTCAATTTCAGGGAAGAGCAAGATGGCTCATTGAGTAAAGGGGCTTGCCACCAAGCCTGGGGGCATGAAGTGGATTCCCAGGACCCACCTAGTGAAAAGAGAAAAACAGTTCCCACAAGCTGTGCTCTGACCTCCACAAACGTACACCCACACACAATTAAACATACTTTTTTTAAATTATAAAGGAACACCTTTTATAGATGCAGGCTTGTCATCCCAGCGCTGAGGCTGAGGCAGGAGGATGGAGACTGATCGTGAATTTCACTGAGTGTATGTAGACTGGAAAAGGAAGAGGCTGAGGAGGCAAATCTTCAGCTGGTTAAAGCCTGCTTGGCCCCCACACTCATCAGTATCTGAGGTCATTGGCAACATTCTAGAACAGTGAAATGTCTGTATATAAATTCCTAAGTCTGTGCCTTTGGAGGGGCACTTTTGAGATTTTTTTAAAATTTGTCAAAACAAGCCAGGTGTGGTGACACACCTGTCATTCAACAACTCAAGAGGCAGAGACAGGAGGATTGCTGTAAGTTCAATGGCTGACAGTCTGGGTTACAGGGTGAGTTCTAGGCTACTCTGGGAGACAGTGTCAAACCCTGCCTCAAAAAAAAACAAAAAAAAACAAAAACAAACAAACAAACAAACAAACAAAAACACAGCAGTGTATAAATAAATCCCAACAAAGAACTTGATGCAGCTCAGACTGGTTAAAGCGCAGGGCAGAGCTGTGAGAGGCTCGGGCACTCTCCAAACACTGATGCGGTTATATCCTCCATCGTTTTGTGTCTCACCATCGAAAGGCCAGTAGCAGCCAGCTTGAAACAGGAAGCCATTGCCTGAGCACGGATTCAGAGGGCCAGCCCGGGGAGCGGGGGTGGGGGTGGGGCGTGGGGGGGGTGAGGTGAGCTTGCACCACAAGAGGCCTTGCCCAGAAGGCTGTTGAGATCCATCTCCACCTGCAGGGGTCTCTGAAGGCCCTGGAGCTGCTCAGGCCAGAGTAGACCTGGAGGATGGAATCCCAGGGTAAAACTTGCAGAGCGTCTCCATTTGTGTGTGTGCATTACATGTGTATGTGCACACAGACACTAATGCACATGTGTGTAAATGCACATGGAGGCCGGAGGACAACTGTGGATATTTTTCATTAGATGCCATCCACCTTTTTAATTAATGAATTGACTGACTTATAGATTGATTAATGGGGGCGCAGAAGTTGGCGTCAGGTGTTTTCTTGATTGATTTCCCACGTTTTGAGACAGGATCTTACTGGTCTGCAGCTTGCCAAGTAGACTAGACTTCAAGGAACCTTTCAGACCCCACCCCCCAACCCCAGCCCTGGGAGTATGGCACCACACCCTACTTCTTACTCAGGTTTTGGGGAGTCAACTCAGGTCCTCATGCTTGAAAGGCAAGGACTTAACCAGCCCAGCCACGTCCCCAGTCCAGTAGTCCCATTTTACACATGTAAACACTGAGGCTGAGAAAGCCTGAAAAGCTCACCTAACTCACTGCCATGAGTCTAAAACCCTAGATGCCATGCTACTCAGAGGACCATCTGAGATGCACTTCAGAAAACAGACTATCAAGGCTAAACATCTGAACAGGCTGTGAGCAGTGGGGCACTCCTGGATCTGTGTCTATTATTACTGTTGTTGGTGTGTGTGGGCACGCATGCCACAGCTCCCGTGTGTGGGGGTCAGAGGATAATTTCGTGACATCGGTTCTCTCCTCCCACCTTTAATGGGTACCAGGGATAGAACTGGGTCATCCGGCTCTCACAGCAAGCGCCTTTCCCTGCTGAGCCCTTCTCTGTGTGTGTCTAAGAAGAAAGAGGACACATGTTTGTGGTCATGCCAGGGTGCTGTTTGTGTGGGGGGCACACACCTGCCCAGTGGCAGTCAGAAGAAAACTTGCCGATGTCGGTTTTCTCCTTTACCATGTGGGGCCCGGGAAACGAACTCCATTTGTCAGGCTGGGGCAGCAAACACCATCCCTGCTGAACCATCCTGTCAGCCCAGCCCAGTCCTGGGTTATATGTATTTATTTTTATTTTATGTTCTTGGTGTTTTGCCTGCATGTGTGTCTATGTGAAGGTGTGTGAAGGTGTCAGCCTGGAGCTGGAGTTACAGATGGTTGTGAGCTGCCATGTGGGTGCTGGGACTTGAACCCAGGTCCTCTGGAAGAGCAGCCTGTGCTCTTAACTGCTAAGGCATCTCTCCAGCCCCCATGTGTAATTTCTGTTCTAGAAAGTTCAAAGTGGAGCAGAAGGCAGCCATCATTCGAGAGGTTGAGGTGGTCACCACACTGATGGCAAAGGAGTGGCCAATCTGAGGGACCTGGAGCATCTGTCCACGGAAGACCATTGCACATGTGTGTTTATTTTGCAAGTTTGGGGGCCAGTGAGCTGGTTCCGCAGGTAAAGGCAACCCTGATGTGATTGCTTGAGTCGGATCCCCGAGGTCTTCCGTACCAAGGTGGACCGAGAG